GTCCCTTAATGCTTTATGTTTAGTTTCAGGATGACTGAAGCATTTCTCAGGTTAACTTTACAGGCATCCCCAACCTCGGTCCTCGAGGGCCGTTGTCCTGCAGGTTTTAGAGGTTTCTCTGCTTTAGCACAGCTGATTATAATGATTGCAGTAGACCAAAAGTCTGTTAATCAGCTTTCAATTAAAATCAGCTGTGCTGGAGCAAGGAAACCTCTAAAACATGCAGGACAGCGGGCCTCGAGGACCGACGTTGGGGATGCCTGGATTAAATGATTGAATCCTGTATCTTCAACCTGATGGGAACAGCCTGCGCTCATGATTCATGGTCTGGTCAGGGCTAGAGGCAATGCTCTCTAAGATCCCCATATTATTATCGCAGGTAGAGCCTTTAAGTTTCGGACCCAGGTGGCTTGAAGTCTTTGTGAGAGTTTTAGACCATGTGTCATTACAGTACTGCAAAATAATCTTAGCTAGGCGGGATATCTGAGGGAAATTCACCTAGGATTTAAACATCCCTTGATGCTATGTGCAGATAGGATTTCATTTATTTATATATTTGTTTATATTTCTTATGTTGTGTGTTGTGATTCTGCTTTGAATGTCCTGCAGATCTGCAGCTCGGATGCTTTGGATGAAGGTCGACTGAAACACACAGAGTTCTGCTCTAAAGTCAAACTCCAGTCTGGATCCTCGGTGCGTTTTGATCAATCAGTTAAAAAAAACAGCAATGAATAAATCTGACATTATTGGATCTATAACTTTAAAATGTATTTGATATTGGTTTGCAGTTGCATAATAATATTTTCCCAGATTAACCAGTGGATGAATTTCTATGTAGAATCTCAACAGATCATCCTGAGACCCTTGTCCCTATATTTTGAAACGTTGATGTCTAAAGATTGAAATGTTTAGATTTTTTTCGTTAGATATGTTTTTCATGTTGGTTATTTTAACTAACATGCAAAACAGATTAATTCTCTCTAAATCCAGCAGTTAATTTATTAATTTAAAGTAACCGGTTATCTAAACGTGTTCTTTAGAAGTGGTACTCTGATGACGAGCTGGATGTCAAGGCTATCATGGACACCTGGACGCTGCAGGAGGGCTTCCCGCTGGTCACTGTAGAGGTCAAAGGTCGGGAGGTCAGGCTCAGTCAGGAGCGTTTCCTGAGGACAGACAATCCTTCGCTCACTCAAGGGTAACAGATATGCCATCATTTGTAGCTTCTCTATGAAATTCTTTCATCAATTCCTCAGCTTTTTAATTCTCTGTATGATGGTTTAATTTTTATGTGGCAGATTCCTGTGGCAGATCCCACTTACGTACATGACCAGTGCCTCCAGCACAGTTCACCGTTTCCTTCTCAAGACTAAGGCTGGTGAGGATTTTGCTCTAAATTAGTGCACATTTTTAGATCCACAAACACAGCTTCAACCCAATAAGCTCCTATGTACTCTGGCTGTACTCTATGTTTAGATGTCCTCTACCTGCCCGAAGAAGTGGATTGGGTAAAGTTTAATGTCAACATGAGTGGTTATTACATGGTCCATTATGCTGGAGAGGGTTGGAACAACATCATCAATTTGCTGCTATACAACCACACCGCCATCTCTGGCAATGATAGAGCCAGCCTCATCCAGAACGTCTTCCAGCTGGTCAGGTCGGTCCAACACTAGAAATTCTATACTGTAAACTATGTCAAACATGTGAGTTTACTCACACAAAGCTAGGTTGGTTATGATTCATTCATAAATTTCACATTAAGAAAATCTCCTCGAACGTTCCAGTAAAAAAAGAGAACCATTTAAACATATCAGTTCAATATATAAAGCTCTTAAACATGTGGAAACAATTGTTGATACTCCTCTTTAAAGATAAAGAAAAACCCACAATGGTGACAGAAACAACTTAAATTTAACAAAAGTATTAATAAATAAAAATCCTGTAAAAATGAACAAAGGAAAGTAAGACATTGCTTTTCAAACATGCTTCAACAGAAAGATAACAAAAAGAAACACATGAAATAGGCCTGTACTTAAAATGATGGTTCCCCTAGAAAAGAATGAAAATAATGTAATCAAAGGGACATGTTAGATCCAATTTTGTCCATTAATTAGCCTCACAGGTGTCTACAATCTTTAATCAATCAGTGGGCCTATATATGGGGCTACAGGTAGTCACTGTGCTGTTTGTTGACATGGTGTGTACCACACTCAACATGGACCAGAGGGAAGAGTTGTCTCAGGAGATTAGAAATAAATTATAGACAAGCATGATAAAGGTCAAAGGTAAAGGCTGTAGGACCATCTCCAAGAAGTTTGATGTTCCTGTGACTACAGTTGCACATATTATTCAGAATCTAAGATCCGTAGGACTGTAGCCTATGTTGATGACAAATAGAAGAGATGGATAATATGAATGGTAACAAATGGACACAGAAAAACTTCTAAAAAAGTGAAATTGAAGCTCAAGGAACATCAGTTTCATATTACACCATCTGGCATTAACAAATCATAAAAAAGCCAGACTGGGATTTGCCAATCTATATGTTTATAAGCCACAAATCTTCTGGGAGAATCTCCTATGGACAAATGAGACAAACAGTTTACTACTTGCTAAGAGACATCAGCTTTTAGTTCACAGATAGAACAATGAAGCATATCAAGAACAGAACATTGTCCCTACTGTGACACATGGAGGAGGCTCTGTTATGCTCTGGGGCTGCTTTGCTTCATCTGGCATCGCAGGGTTTCTTCAATCTATGTTGGTTACATTGAAACCTCTAGACCAGAGAGAATGGGCTGTCCAGTGTCAGAACGCTTGGTCTCAGTCGCAGGTCATGGATCTTTAACAGGGTAAAGACCCAAAACACACAGCTAAAAATACCCAAGAATGGCTAAGAGGAAAACTTTGGGCTATTCTGAGGTGGCCTTCTTACTGTATGAGCCATGACCTAAATATTAGTGAGCATCTTTGGAAGGAGCTGAAACATGCTGTCTGGAAAAGTCCCCCTTTAAGCCTGAGATAACTGGAGCAGTTTGCTCATTAAGGAGAGGACCAGAATACCTGCTGATGGAGCTGAAGTCTCATTGAAGGTGATTGATTGATTGATTGATTGATTGATTGATTGATTGATTGATTGATTGATTGATTGATTGATCGATCTCACATTGGAGAAATATACTCACAGAAATCCCTTTAATACAGTGATTACCTCAAAAGGTTGTGCAACAAAATATTAAATCGAGGGTACCATCATTTCTCTCAAGGTCTGTTTCATGAGTTTATTTATTTTTAATCATTCTATTGAGGTATGGTTCAAATGCAATGTTTGACTTTTGTATGTTCATTTTGATAGAAGATTTATTATTACTTTTGTCAAATTAAAGGTATTTGTGTGACCATTGTGTATTTTTCTTTCTTGAGAGAGGGATCAACAGTTTTGTCTATATGTGTTTCAGTGTTGGAAAGGTGAGGCTGGATACAGCCCTGGAGCTTTCTCTTTATCTCTCCAAAGAGACTGAGATCATGGCTGTGACCCAGGGCTTCGGAGAGCTCGTCCCACTTTACAAGCTGATGGAGAAGAGAGACATGACAGTACTGGAGAACCAGATGAAAGTAAGACAGATTCTATGATATTTTAGGAAAACAAACTTAACAGTATGAGCTCGAAAAAGACAAAAGAAAAAGATTAAATAAAATGTTGAATTATATCTAAAGTATATTTTATAACCGACTCAGCATGTGATTAAGAATCATCTGGTTTGTAGTGGTCTCTGTAGAATCTTTGTAAGGGCCCTGGAACAACTTACAGATTTAGACAGCGTATGCCTTAAGTCCCAGAATCTCCTAAAACGTTGACATACGCTGAACTTTCTCTCTCTATATATATATTTTTTACCTGTATGTATATATATATATATATATATATATATATATATATATATATATATATATAACTTACCTGTAACTTATGGTCCACGTATGAGCATACGCTAGCATACAAAGGGACGTACTTGCCGTATGTCGATGTGTGCCAGTGTGTTTCAGCGTACTTCACAATGCTCATAGCTTATACAAAATGTACCCATTACTTATTCAACATATGCCTGCGTCTTTGCCAGATTTTTCATACGTCAGGCACACGCTGGTCTAAATTGTCAAGGTGTTACCGGGGCTTAAGGTCTTCTAAAGTGCACTATGACTACAGTCCCATCCAAGAGAAGTAGAGCTCCTCCTTATGAAGGAGCCTAACAATGGCAGTCGTTGTTTATCCATGACCTGTTCCCAGCAGGAAGCATGAAGGGATTCATCAGTTGATCTAAAGTAGTACTGCTCAAAATGTCTTTAATTTGATTTAAACCACTATTTACAGGAAGCACCCCAAGTTACCTAATTGGTTGTAACCTTTTGTGTTTTGACTGCTATATATGTGGGGTCCACCAATCAGGCTGCAGCAACAATCCAAGTTGCTGTAGAATCAGTCCCCATGCAATCAAAAAGTAGTGGGGAAAGAAAGAATGGCATGTGTATCACTTCCTGTTGAATTGAGTTTCCAGCTTGTGAAATGTGCACACATCTCCAAATTGTCCAGTTTCTTTTGAAAACCCAAGGTTTTTTTTTTAGTTTTCCAGCTGCTTTTCCAATGCAAAATGTTGTCAAAGGTAAATGTAATTATTTTATTCATCCATGAGTAGAGACAAATTTGAAAGCAGCGCAATTGAAATCCTTTAGGGTAAAATTATTATACAACAATTATGAACCAGTTGGTGTGAAAATTAATATCTACATTTCTTTAAATATATTCAAACCACAGGGCCCCTGTATGTCAGATTTAAAAAAGCATCTTAGATTTATGTGCACGCTTACTTCTGAATCCAGCTGTTAAGATGTGCACACAGCTTTGTCATGGGAAAATTACTGTGCATGATGGCACACTGCAGCTATGTGCTGCATTTAAACAAAATCTTATCAGAAAAAGCTTTTGGCTGCGTCTTTTCATGCTTCTGATATACTGATACATATACTGATGTTAGCACCTCCAAAGCCAGTCTGAAACTGATTGTTGAAGTGCAGAAACCTCCTATTTACATTCACAGGGTGGGATTTGTTGAATTGGTTTGGAGTATTTCAAACCAATATTTGGTTCTCCAGATGTATAACGATCAAACAGCCTTGGAAATTCTGAAGAATGAACAATGGTCTTAATCCAGTGTGAACAGGGTCTGAAGTACTAAATGCCTTATTTACATTTTACACACCGTTTATGATGCCCTAGGATTATATTGTGGATCTATTCCGGGATCTGATCGATCGGCAAGAGTGGAATGACTCCGGTTCGGTGTCTGAGCGAGTGCTTAGGAGTTACCTGCTGCTGTTCGCCTGTGTCAGGAAATATCCTCCCTGCGTCGCCAAAGCCACCCAGATGTTTAACAGCTGGAAGGATTCAGATGGGACCATGAGGTCAGAGCACCAAGGGCAACCAGCTTTACTTTCAGAATAATTAATCGCTTGTATGGATTAAACAAGCACTGCTTTTATTGTAAAGCTCATCCTTGTCATTGTAGCCTCCCTGTTGACATCACTATGGCTGTGTTTGTGATTGGAGCACGGACACCAGAAGGATGGGACTTTCTCTTTGAAAAGTACCGCACCTCGCTGCAGATGTCCGTCAAGAGCCGTATAAAGACTGCTATGACTGTCACACACATGCAGGACAAGCTCAAGTGGTGAGTAGCAGAGCTGAGCGAAAATGACAATTTATTAAGCTCCTCTTTAAAATCTGTCCTTTCTTTCTGTTTCAAGGATGATGGAACAGAGTCTGCGGGGTGAGGTGATGAAGACCCAGGACCTTCCAGATGTGGTTGCCTCTGTTGGAAGGAACCCTCATGGTTACAAACTAGCCTGGGACTTCCTCAGAGCTAACTGGCACACCCTGATCAAGAAGTCAGTACACATTACTCTCTGTTACCTCTGAATATGATCATCCTTCTACCTTAAGCTAAACATCTGCATATTCATCCTCCTTGTTAGGTTAAAAATGGCGCCTGAATCACTAACAGTAACAGAGTATTTGTGTTAATACAACAGGTTTGACCTCGGCTCTAACACTGTCTCGTACATGGTGGCCGGTGTGACCAACCAGTACTCCACCAGGGAGATGCTTCAGGAGGTGATTAATAAGAATTTTCTTCTGTCTTTAAGGTTTTTTTGTTAATGAGAGGATAAATTTTTTTTTTTTTATCACTTTAAAGTGGGAATATGTGTTTAAATCTCATACCCATGCTGTCCCTCAGATAAGGAACTTTTTTGACTCCCTGACGGAGGAGGAGGGATCAAAAATGAGGTGCATCCAGCAGACCTACGAGACCATCGAGGATAACATCCGCTGGATGGACACCAACCTTCCTCTGTTACAGGCTTGGTTGAACAAGCGGCAACTCAGGGCTCCTCATGAAGATTTATAGTCCTTGGAGCAGTTTGGTTTTTATTTGACCCCCTGTGGACAGGCCGATGTTGGTTTCAGTCCAGAAACCAACATCACTGAAGCCAGAGTAGATTTTTATGACAGCATTTCCGGTGGCATGGATTGTTTTTTTAGACCTCCACCATCCAAGCCTCACCTGAGCAGGTATTTAATCTGGGTTTTAAAGAAGAGCCCAGATTAGAGAGTAGACTAAGAGCTAATACTCTTGTGTTCATTGTACTACTGAAATTAGATTGTTGAAAATAGGGTTATTACATTATGCAGGCGGTTGTCAGATGTGGGTCATTTATGTTCCCAATTTGATTTTCTCAGGCCCCATACCTCCAACCATAGTCTGTGTAGATATAAAGAACTTAGATAAACCATCTGCAGCCTATGTCTGTTTGACCCACTCTTAGAGGATGCCCAGTTTTTAATGGCTCCATTAGTTTCTCACATCAAGCAGATGCTCCCATCATGTATTGACAGTTTTAAAGGCCCAGTGTGGAAAAACAGAAAAGTTGTGTCCTTCATGACAAGCATTTTGCACTTAAAAACTCTGACAAAAAATAGTAGCACTCTTTTTTTCTTTTTTTTTTTTTTATGTAGAAATTTCAGCCAAATAGCTTTTTTTCGTTCTTCCTCAAACTTTGTTTGAGCATACTTGAGAAATAGTTTAAAATTTAACGGTAAGAGGTACTTTCCTTGGATTATTTAGTGAGGGATTTCCACCAGAGATGCCTGTTTCTGCCTATTTGTTTCTTTCTAAGTGGCTGTTTCAGCACACAGACCTTAATGTTGTAAGATTTTGGGTGGGATTTTTTTTTTTTGAACTGCTGTGAAGTTAATTTGGGTTTTGAATTTGAACTGCATTATTACAGAGGAAAGAAAAAGAAATGAACTATCCAACAAATGTGTTGTTTTATTGTAATGTTTTTTGATAGCTTGTTATCAGCAATACAGCAAAAAAAAAGAAAGAAGAAATAAAATCAATGTTTGTATCTTTTGTCTTCAGGAAACAAAATAAGAATAAATAAACGACTATTTGAACCAAAATGGACTTGTATACAGAAAACTTTATACATTCATTTAATTATATCTGAGCACATTTTCCTATGCTATACTGAAGAGTTTACTGTTCAGAGAAAAAGTTTAGAAACTAGATTTCATAATCTGGGATATAAAAACTTTCTTTTTAAACATTTCTGATTTGAAAAGTTGACAAAATATGTTCAGAAAAGTGTGTTTTGTATTAAGGAAAGGGTCAATTTTCAACAGTTAGCGCCTTATATGTGGCAGCCTGCTGCTAATATGCTTTAATATCTAAGGAAGAAATTTACTTCACCTCAAAAGATTAACTTCATCTTCTTAGTTTCATGATAATTTTGGGCAGGCAAAGTATGGCTTAGACATAAGAACTTAGACAACATTTATTGTCATTTTTTATACACAGAGTGTATACAAATTGAATTTTGTTTTGTAGAGCTTTAATGACATTTCCATTTCTCAAAGTGCAGCAGTGATCAAATGTAAACATTGTAGAAGAAAAAATGCATTGATATGGAAGTTCAGAGCATAATTATATATATTGTGCAATGATGCAGTGTCTTGGTTTGATGTTGTCAGTGTGATGCAGATTCTGTGATTTAGAGTTTTCTCAACGGTTCAGTTGCCTGACGGCGGTGGGAAAGAAGCTGTTTCGGAATCTGCTGGACCTGCAGGGAATACGGCAAAGCCTCCTTCCAGAGGGCAGCCTGGAGAACAGTCCATGGTGGGGGTGTGAGGGGTCATTTATAATGTTACAGGCTCGGGACAGCCAACGCTGGGATGAAATGTTTTTTATGGAGGGAAGAGGAGCCCCGATGATCTTCTCTTCTGTTCTCACCGCTCTCCTCACCTTCTTCCAGTCTGAGGCGCAGCAGCCTCCACACCACACAGTGAGACAGCTGGTCAGAATGCTCTCTATGGTGCTTCTGTAGAAGGTGGTGAGGATGGGTGGGGACAGGTAGGCTCTCCTTATCCTTTTGCATGAAGTATCTGCGCTTCTGTGCCCTTTTGACCAGTGAGGTGGTATTAACAATCCAGGTATGGGTGTCTGTGATGTGCACCCCCAGATATTTGGTGCTGCTGAACACCTCTACAGCTGAACTGTAGATGACCAGTGGAGCGTGGTTAGGCTGCGTCTTCCTGAAGTCGACGATGATCTCCCTCATTTCTCCACTTTCAGGATCAGGCTGTTATCTTTGCACCAGTCCACCGGCTGCTCCACCTCCTCTTTGTAGTCCTGGTTGTTGCCGTCTCTGATGAGGCCCACCACCGTGGTGTCATCTGCAAACGTCACAATGTGATTGGTGGTGAAGCTGGGGACGCAGTAATGTGTCAGCAGGGGGCTCAGGACGCAGCCCTGAGGGGAGCCTGTGCTTAGACTGATGACATCAGAGGTGTTCTCTCCGACCCGGACTGACTGAGGTCTGTCTGTGAGGAAGTTTGCCCATCAGCTGTGGAATGATGGTGTTGAAAGCCGAACTGAAGTCCTCTTTAACTTTAGCCTAACCAAGCTCTTTATTTTCATATCTTATTTATTTCAGTTTATACTTTAAATTGTAACTTTTACTTTGGCGTTAAGAAAAATGAATAGCTGTATGTTTAGGCTTTTTGAGGTGAAGGTGAGCCTCCATCCAGCTACCAAGTCCCTCTCAGCCTAATCAGTTATTTGTCCTTCCATTGAGTAAATTCCAGAAGGATTTTATTACTTGTTCCAATAGTTTCCTCCAGATAGTTTTGTGCAGTGTATAATTAACACCTGTCCGTTCATCATTTTCTACCTGCTCAGCTGTGATCATGCAAGACCTTTTTTTCCCATTTCTCATTTTTCCAAATGCAAAGTTTTCCCATAAAACTTTGTATTTGTGTGATGTAAGGGTCAACAGAGATAGTTCAGTAGATCCTGAGCTACTTCAACTGTAAACCTTATCTAAAATAATTCAAGCTGCCTCCATGATTAATATGCTAGCAGGGAGCAAAGGCCTCTGTTATCATTATTAATTACATAAATTTTGCATGTTCACTTCCTGACAGTTACATTGATGCAACCTTTGTATCCTTACATTCCTCTAACAGCAGACAAGAGTTTTTTTCCACTCAGAGATAGCTAACTGGTTTGTAAAGTACATTTTTAATCATTACACCTTTCGGTTTATGCCAGCCACCACTGCTGCTTTTATTTGCTTTTCTTCGATTGCTGCTCTGATCATAATAATCGTCTGCACTCAGCAGCTCAGTAAGAACAAACATGAACCCCTCTTATCACTCTGGGTGTGAGTGACTTGCAAAATGCTGTAATCTTCTGTAAGTAATTATTATTCTAACTGAAGATGCATATTTTCTCCTTTTCCACCTATTGATTGGGTTGTTGTACTGCAGTGAAAGCTATTTGTCCCATTATTGAGACTATTAAACAAATTGGAAAGTCAGATAAGAAGAACACAAATTGTTTTCATATCTCTATATTTCATTTTTAATCGCCACACCCTGATTTGATCAATGCCAGACCTGTAAGGGTAAAGGAACTTGTCTAACAAGAACATAACTGGGCTAAAACATCTTGAACAGCCTGATATGAGAAGCAAAGTCAATTACATTTGTTAGATCTTAAGAGTTACAAGGTTATCTCTAAGACGTTGGACAGCCGTTACAGTTGAAAGAAAATACAGAACGCTAATAAACTAAAAGGAGTGTCTGGGTGACCAAAATCTGACAACTTATCCAAAGGGTGACAAAAACCCCTGAGGAACATCTAAAGAATTACAGGTTTCATTTAAGGACCAAACCAGTAAGGAAAAATAAAAAGAAGACAAATATTTCTTGAAACACATCTAAATTATTCCTCCTAAGTTACCAAATTATCCCGTTTACAGGATTTGTTTTTGGAAGATGAATGTCTTACTACATCAATCTGGGGTTGTTAGTTTATTAATGTGGACCTGCTTTGCTCCTCAAAGACCTGAATGATTTAATTAGTAGGAAACTTGAAATTGAACATCTGGCCAACAGTTTTTGACCTTAAGTCTAATCATACTCTTATTAAATGTAAATACAAAGAGCAAGTAGATGTTGAAAGCAGAATGGAACAGTCAGTTGTTAGGTTAGGGGTTCCAGGATAACGACTTTTTAATTCCAGTCTTATTCTTTGTTTTTGTTGTTGTTGTTTTTTTTTCAGTTGTTTAGATAATATTCAAAAATACTGATTTAAAATGTTCAAATGAAAAGTAAAAAAAAATCATTCTAGACTTCACACTCACACTTATTTTAACTGGTTGGCATAGAACATTGGCCTCTTTCCTCGCTGCCTGAGATAAAGTAGAAACAACTATCTTCTATGGTCAGATTAGCCTTTTTCTGAACAAGGGGCATTTAAGATGTTAGCACTCAGGACTCTGACCACACAGCTGGGGGGGCTAACTGTTTTTATTCATATTTTCCTAAATTCTTTCTTAACAACTTTAACTACCAGCTTATGAGAGGAAAAACACAGGCCTGTTCCTTTAAATGTCATAACACTGCCATAAATCCTTCTGAGAAACCCTTTATCACCATCTATTAAGACACACTGTCCATCACTAAAATGACATGTAATGTATATTTTTTCTGGTTGTGATCATCTATATTTAGGCCTTTTTCAAAATGCTTTTGGTAGAAGAAGAATTTGAACTAAGGATAGTGATTTTTGAATGCATTTAATGGGAGATAAGCATTGTGGGCTTTACCCTTGCTCCCATGCATGAGCACACACAGTACACACACAGCACACCCACAATAAAAACTGTACTCTGCTCCACTGATTAAGTCCTTTCAGCTCTACACCTGGAAAAAGACACTTTACCCAAAGGTAAGAGCCTGAAACACACCTTTGCTTCTGTTTTCTAATCTGAATCTGGTTTCATCAAAAGGATCTGTTTAAATTTAATCAGAAATCTCTTCAAAGGGAACATATCATAGACGTCTGTTTGTTCAGTGCGTATTTACAGACTTTGCTTCGGTTTCTATGTGCTCAATGATCAGCTACTGGGAATTTTGACCTCACCTATCCCTTACTTGAGCTAATTTTAGTTTTGTTTTCCTACCTTTGTCAAGTACCTGTTTGGTTTGTTAAATCTATGTAGGAATCATCTGAAAAAATGTATCATTTTTAAAGACAAACCCTTATTGTGCTGGGCTCAAGCTTAGAAGTTTCCCTCCATATTTGGGAGTTTATCTAGAAGGTGTCAAATCAAAGTCTGTGATAATCACAGGACTGACCTACATGATCAGCTGTAAAACCACATCTTTTATTGGCCTAAAGGTCTATGCTTTTTTACTTTTGCATATTCATGATGATTATAATAGTTTGAATAGTTCATTAGCCTACCAGCACCTTTTTTATTTGTTTACTTTACATCAAAATTCTATGAAATGAGCTTTATGTTACAGAGTTACACAAAGTTGTGCATAATTGTGAAGAATGAGAA